AGCGCCACCGTCACCGCCGTAGCAGCAGCGCCGCCGCACCACCCGCGGCTGGCGACGGCGGCGCTGGCGTCTCCGACGCCCGTTGGTGGACGATGGGGCAAGGCGCCGCGATCGAGGCTCTCCTTGCGAGGGACAAGACGAGGAGACAGGTTGCCGGCGGCGGCGCCGAGGCGATGCTGAGGCGCACTAGCAGCGACAACCGATTCCGTAGGGGGAACGTTGGCGGCTTGGGGTGGGCCGTCGGTGGGACGGGGTGGGGTAGCAGCGCCGGGGGGGAGGCGAAGGGGATCCCGAGGTCTCCCGTGTCGAGGGCGGCTTTGGAGGGCGGGCGGGGGACCCACTTCGGAAGGACGTCGGCGCTAAGACTGCGCGCGCTTCGAAGGTGCGGGGGGAAGCTACGGCTTGGGTTGAGACCCTCCCTCGTGTGTGTCTATTCTTTATTGCTGGATCGATGGTGGGTGGACTTCTGTGCCTAGAGACGGTACCTGGTTCCAACCAACCCCCACGATTTGGGTGCGCAAGGCAGGGCACGAAGTGCTGTGAACACGTGCAGCTTGTACGACACGGAAAACTTATGCTCTTGGTGGTCGAATATACCATAGACTATACACTTCGTATATTTTTATTTGTAACGTCACGCTGGTCTACTACCAACTCGCCCTACTCGTCCCGCCCTTACCCTGAAGGCCGGGTAGACTCGGCGACGCGGACGCGAACAGCGCCGACGATACCGGGGACGAGTCGCTGTCATCCCCGACCGAAGGCGGCGAAGAAGAGCCGCCCGAGAGACGAGAATCGCCGTCAACGCTGCCGCCACAGGTTTTCCTACTTTAGTTATTTTGTTGAGAGGGAATTGGACCGCGAAAAACCGTTGGCTCCCCCATGATGGTGGGAGCCCGGTGTCGACCAATCGTGGCTCGTTGGGGCAGAATCGTTTTGAGGGGGTGCACGGCGCTGTAGCCGTTTGTCGTGCATGTGGAGCGTGTGTTTTGTGTAGCATACCGCGATCGCCTTTCGGTAGGGGGTGCGTCATGTCGTGCTTTTGCCTTGTTTTTTAATTCGTGGAGATTCAAAGCCACGGTGCTTTAAGGCGCTCGAAACCATGCACCAGTCGACTCCCCCTCCGTAGCTAGTCCTACAGCCTACAGCAAGTCTCAAATCCAAGAGGATTGAAATTTCACATCCAAAGGGGATGCTTAGTGACTTTAGCGGCTATTGGCTGACTCTGGTTAGTCTACTTTCGTCGTTTCCGCTTGTTTTACCCGGCGCCTTAAAAAAAAACCACCACGCCCACACTCAGCGGCCGGAGGTCGAGAGCACGCGGTTGTATCATCTGCCCCTGACGAGGGACGCGGCTTCCGTCGTCTCTCGCTTCATGTGGAAGGAGCTCAACGAGCTCCGGGTCAAGGTGGTGCTGCGGGCGTTCCAGGTGAGCGGGGGTGGGCATTTGTAGGGGGGGGGGGGGGGGGGGGGGGGGGGGGGNGGGGGGGGGGGGGGGGGGGGGGGAGGGTATGTAGGGTAGGCCGGCAAAGTCTGTTGCTTGAGGGTATGGAGGGGACCGGAGTGATTATTTTGGGGCACACGAAGGTAGTTTAGTGAGAGGAGACAGAGAGCGATCCCGAGGAGGATGGAGGATGACCGGTGTGTGTCACTGTTGTGGAACAGCGTCCTCTGTGCGCTTTTTGTTTTGCGGTTGATTTTTCTGCGCGGCCGAGGAAAGCGTGCAGGCCTCGCCAAAAAGAGGTATGGCGTGCATCGTCACTGCTGTCTTCCCGTTGCGCACTGGTTACCGTCTATGACACAAGATAACACACCCCCTTGACCAATTGTCGAAGCTCGATTTCTCAAATGCAGGGACAGTCACAGCGCCGAGAACGGCGGCGTTGAAGCCGTCTCGTCGAGAGCTTTTCGAAAATGTATCGTTTCGTTTATGCATCCTCTTCGTGGAGTAATCGAGCTTTGAAAATCGGTCCAGGGGGTGTTTTGTCTTGTGTCATATACTGTAGTGGACACGTCCCAGTTCGTTTTTCGTCGATTTATTTGCTGCTTTTTTGCAAGCGATGAAATCTAGTATCGCTGGCTCTCCATCGCCGAGGAAAAACTCTTGTGAGGTGCGTGGTTGACGAGTCGACATGGTGTTCTCGACCAACCCCCCCTCGTCGATTTTTTTCTTTCGATCCTGTCGTCGCTCCATGTCTGTCTGTATGCCTGTCTGTGTGTTTTTGTCTATCGGTTCTGTGTCTGTCTCTGTCTCTCTGTCTCTCTGTCTCTCTGTCTCTGTCTCTCTCTCTGTCTGTCTACCTCTCTCTCCCTCTCGCTCTCTCTCCCCCCCTCTCTCCCTTGCGTGGGCATCACACAACAAACAGTCCCTTGCGTGCAGCACCGCCGCGCGAGAGGCCGGGCTGGATGCCGGCCAAGTACTCGCCGCCCTGTCGCCGGCAAGACGGTCGATGGTGGGCAGCTTGCACGGCTCGCCCGTGGAGACCTTTGCAGGTCTCTTGGTTTCTCTCGCGGAGGTGCGAAGGGTGAACATGGGGGGGGGGGATTGGAATCATGTTTCGCATGCCTTAGCGGTTAGACCATTGACGATGAGTCCTCCATGGTTCCCACAGGACCAATCAGCGATGACCAATCTCCCCTCCCTACTTTGGCACAGGTTGCTCAAGAATGTTTTCGTAGCCTGTCTATCATATCCTCTGTGGCACGTTGAGGGGGACTAACCCGTGTTACTTGGTTCTAAAGACTTTGTCGCAGACATTGGCCCCTTACCGGTACAGCATTGGAGGGAGTAGATATGCATTGAGGCTCGTATGCTGCCCGAGTGCTTGCCTTGCGTTGAGGCTGCAGTGCAGGTAGCCGTGCCGTGTGTGGATTCAGTTCGTGGGGTGCGGTCCCCCCCCCCCCC